CCCCAACCTCAGCGTTCGGGATCCCGTCTCCGTCGGCGTCGTCGTCGCAGGCGTCGCCGATGCCGTCGCGGTCCGCGTCCTCCTGGCCCGAGTTGGGCACGGTCATGCAGTTATCCTGCCGGGACAGAGGCACGGCGACGTGGGACAGCGCCCAGCCCGGGCTCCGGGGCTCTGGGCAGCACCCGCGGCCCGTCCTGCAGCGAAACTGGGCTGAAATTCCCGGATTTCTGCCCTCGCCCTCACCTTGCGGCATTTCTTGTCGGAGCAGCGCTGCTTCTCGTCGGGGACACCGTCGATGTCCGTGTCCTTCCCGCACACGTAGCCGTTCCCTGCCCACCCCACGAGGCACTGCAGCAGGGCAGACACAAAAAAATCAGCCCCCGATGGGCTCCGGAACGCAAGGATTTCCGGGAAACAGCCCAAAACTGGGAATCCCGGGATGGGAACCCGCGGGGAGACAGCGCCGGCAGAAAGGCTCGGGGGGCGGCTCGGGGCCGCTCTGCCCGCTGAGCAGCAGCGGGACCCGGCTCGGAGCCTGCCGGGCGGGTCCTGCCCAGCCCCGGGAATTCCCTCCGGGGAAAAGCAAAATCCCGAGCAGCGGGAGCAGCCCCGGAGCAGCGGGGATGGCTCGGGAAGGGCGTTCTCCAGGAGAGGGCAGGGCAGACCCGGGACAGGAGCGCGGGATGCGGGAGCCAGCAGCGAGCACCGACCCCAACCGCAGGAGTCTGGGGTCACCCCGGACCCCAATCCCAGGGGGTTTGGGGTCACCCCGGACCCCAATCCCAGGGGGTTTGGGGTCACACCAGACCCCAGCCCAGGGGGTTTGGGGTGACCCCAGACCCCAGCCCAGGGGGTTTGGGGTGACCCCAGACCCGAATCCCAGCGGGTTTGGGGTCACCCCGGACCCCAGCCCAGCGGGTTTGGGGTCACCCCAGACCCCAGCCCAGGGGGTTTGGGGTCACCCCGGACCCCAATCCCAGCGGGTTTGGGGTCACCCCGGACCCCAGCCCAGGGGGTTTGGGGTCACCCCGGACCCCAATCCCAGAGGGTTTGGGGTCACCCCAGACCCCAATCCCAGCGGGTTTGGGGTCACCCCAGACCCCAGCCCAGGGGGTTTGGGGTCACCCCAGACCCCAATCCCAGCGGGTTTGGGGTCACCCCGGACCCCAATCCCAGGGGGTTTGGGGTGACCCCAGACCCCAATCCCAGAGGGTTTGGGGTCACCCCGGACCCCAATCCCAGCGGGTTTGGGGTCACCCCAGACCCCAGCCCAGGGGGTTTGGGGTCACCCCAGACCCCAGCCCAGAGGGTTTGGGGTCACCCCGGACCCCAATCCCAGCGGGTTTGGGGTCACCCCAGACCCCAGCCCAGGGGGTTTGGGGTCACCCCAGACCCGAATCCCAGGGGGTTTGGGGTCACCCCAGACCCGAATCCCAGAGGGTTTGGGGTCACACCAGACCCGAATCCCAGCGGGTTTGGGGTCACCCCGGATCCGAATCCCAGCGGGTTTGGGGTCACACCAGACCCCAATCCAACCGCAGGAGTGACTGGATCAGACCTCAGCTGTTCTTTGGGGGTTGGATCAAACCCAAATCCCGGGGCGGGGGTCGGACCAGACCCACAGGAGTGTGAGACCCAACGCCGATCTCGGGAGGGCGGGACCAGACCCCCGCCTCAGGAAAATTTGGATTAAATCCAGATGTCTGGAGGGCGAGACCAGACCCCAGCCCAGCCTCGGGAGGGTGGGAGCCGACCCCAGTCTGGGGGGAGACTGGGACCAGACCCCATTTGCAGACCCCAAACACAGGAGG